TTAACTCATAATCGTAGGAGACATAAATTATGATGATGACCTCCAAGATTGATTCCCAATCTCCATCTTAATCCCCTAGAAAATTTATTTTCGAAGTTTCAAACAGTGAATGCATCCATTGTAAACAAGTTATTTTCTCATAATTTCATTCAACATTACATTTTGTAAAAAAACATTACAAATTATAGGGTACCAGGAAGAGGCATATTACGGATAAAGCTAGTAAATAGAGTAAGGGCACGTATGGGTTGGTCACTAGGCACCATGTGACCTGCTCCTCTCACAGTTGCATACGTAAACTTGTTTTTATATTCTTCTGTGTATCCTCCTACCTCTCCTTCGCTAAACCATGGACGCCATATCTTCTCAATTGTTAGATTCATCTTTCGTAGGACGTGCATTGTAGATGTATGCGGAACCGCTGCGTCCATGTCTCCACTGTACACCCAGACACGCACACCGCTACCTGTCAATTCTTCGAGGATAGGAATCATTGAGGCATCTCTATCATTGTTGCTCCATAAATCGTTTTGTTCATAGTTGCATTTCGTCCATGCGTATGGTAGTTTCGTAGTGTTTGCATGCATAGCTTTCTGAACATTTGCTAGGTTGAGATAAGCTGTCAAGTACTCAGGACTGCACGGATCAAAATTCTTTACTGTGGTGTATTCCTTGGGTTTACTTGTTAATGTGGAGTTTAGACAAATGGGAGCGTATATGTTATAAAGGTTTATGTGGCTTGTTTGCTCAGTGATGCTCCATTGAGACTTAAAGCACTCGGTGCCCCCACTATCCTCTCCATTTATGCATAACTTGTTATAGTTGTCCCACTGTTTTGGAGAGATCAAGGCATGATTGAACAAATATTCGTACTCGCCATATATCTCGTCATTACTGTCAAGTCCTGGATTACCAATCAAAACGCCTCGTAGGTTGATCAATGTTTGGTTTTTATTGTGAAGAATCAACTGGGCTAGTTGAGGACAATAATGGCCGGCGTAACTCTGGCCCGCAATATAAACATCTCTTCCTTTATATTCTGAAAACCGTTCAAGCCATTTCACTAAAAACATGTAGTTATTTTCTGCTGTTTTCTTGTCTCCTATATTCTCCAAAGCTGATGAATTATTCATGTACGAAAATCCTACTCCTGCGGGAGATTCTATGTACAACACGTTTGTCTCTGCGAATCCATACATAATTGAATATTACTAATTTGATTATTTTAGTATTATGTATTTAAAAATATATTTATAAGCAATTAGAAAATGTACCATCATTCCATGAATAAGGATTGCGATATAACGTTTTTCCGTCGCTGTGTACGCGGAATGGTCCATGCTCTAGAAATGCTCCTTGTAAAGAAGAACAGCTAGGTCCTGTATTTTGTTAAAATTTAATGAGTTTGTAAACAAACATTATTGACTTTTAAACTTATCTAATTCTCAATGATTCTAGAAAAAGAATACATATTTAGAACGACACGATATACTTGGTTAGTTAAAAGATCCATGCATGTGATGTTGGAATCCAATGGAAAAAACCAAATATTCCTCTTTTCTATAAGCGTCTAATTGTGGTAAAGTAACAAATTTCAATTATTATTTTTTGTAGAGAAATATACCTCCGTTGAACCAAACGACAAGAGGAGAAGAGTTATTAGCTCTTATGGCTTCCACAAAATAATAGTAGAAAAATGGACCGGCTGATTCGTTTATAGCCACATAACCACCGTATTGTTTGAAGCTAACGGGAGGTTGTCCGGGTAGATTCTTGATTAGATCTTTCTCCTTTAGCTCTTGTTGGTTGACACCACTTATTGAAGTTCGGAGCAAAGGCATACTTATGCGACGATTCGCATTGAAGTGGCTTGTGTCACTTGCCGAACCAATATCTCGCTTTGACTTGTACATGCGATTTGGAAAATGTGTTTGGCTTGTACAATGGATTTGTAATGCCAATAACAAGAACAGAAAAACATAAACAATGGCAGGCCACCTTTGTTGTTTCTCCATTCTATAATCTCTTAATGTTTTGATAAATATTATAATTTTTTTTTTTTTAAATGGCTTGAAAGATTAGAAATGAATAGCCAAAATTTATAGATATATTTTAGGGAATCTGACAACTATTTTACCTACTTAACTAAGTTTTTTCTAATTTTAGTTTTTTTTTTGTTAGAAAACCATTTCTTGGCTGTATGTTTGTTTTATTTTTTAATTTTCGAAAATTAATTAAGACCTGATAAGCATTACGGAAAGACATACTTATAAAAATTATTACGATTTCTGATGAAAACAAATTGTACGACGACAAGAATGTAATTCCAACTAGATTTAGGATCCGCATATATGCGAATTTGTAACCTAATATTTTACACCTTGTAAAAAATAAAATTAATCAATTAAAAGTGTTTCAGAGATTTTAAATCTTCTTAAACAAGGGTATCTGCTGTTGTGTAATCAGCAAACAAGTGAAGTCGGGAAAACGAAAACATAAAGAAATGGTAACTTCGGGCCGAATGTGGAATAGTCCACATGTCTNTAAACGTTTGAGGTAGAGATTATAGTGAAGTAGAAAGCAAATATTTAATATTTAGGAGAAATTTAGGAGAGTTCTGGTCAAAGTATGACCGTAAAAGAAGAGAATCTCGAGAAGAGATCTGAAAAAGTGAGATTAAAATTCAAGAGAATTGGCCTTCATTTTGAGAGAAATGGACTTTGTATAAGTTAAGTATGTTTAGACAAAAGATCGAATCCTTTTGTGAAAGAAATGGAATAGTATTTCAATATTTTTACTTTTCTAGGCTCGGATACCGGGTTCCACATCTTGAGCTGGGTTGTGATAGCAG